TGGACCCCCTTCCTCTGTCTGTCGGCTGCCCCCTCTCCTGCAGGGGGCTGTGGACCCCCTTCCTCTGACAGCTGTGCCCTCTCCTACAGGGGGCCATGGACCCCCTTCCTCTGTATGTCAGCTGCCCCCTCTCCTGCAGGGGGCTGTGGACCCCCTTCCTCTGACAGCTGTGCCCTCTCCTGCAGGGCTGTGGACATTCTGCTCAAGATCATCATGCGTACCATGTGGTTCGCCGGCGGCTTCCACCGCGTGGTCGTGAAGGGACGGCAGGCGCTGCCCACAGAAGCGGCCATCCTCACACTAGCACCACACTCCTCCTACTTTGATGCCATCCCCGTCACCATGACCATGTCCTCCATCGTGATGAAGGCGGAGAGCAGAGACATCCCGATTTGGGGAAGTGAGTGAGTCCCTGTTCCCCGCCCCCCTGGGAAGGAGGGACAACCCCTCCCCCACTGCCCTCACCACCCGTGCTGGAGTGGCCCCACCCCAGGGAGGAGCCCCTGCTGGGACTGTGGGTCACGGGGAACACAGAGCCTGCTATGGAGGTCACACCGTAGAGGTAGGCACCAACTTGCAGCCTATTCTCTTTATTATTTTTTTCTATAACATTAGTGTGTGGTTTTCACTTTTGTCAGCACCCAGTACCTGCAACATCATTCCATGTTGGCATGCTCGCTCCAGGTCTGTTTAGCAAGGATGTATCAGCTTTATCAGACAGCAGCTAGAAGCGGGCAGCTCGGAGGCTTGTGTGCCCCAGGGCTGCCATAAGGAAACACCGGTGCTAGGTGGCCTAACAGCAGAAATTCATTCTCTCTCCCTGGAGACCGGAAGCACCTCCAGGGATTGGCAGGCTGAGCTCCCTCCCAAAGCCCTGGGCCAGGGCTCTTCCAGCTTTGCGGCTGCAGACGTCCTGAGCTTGTGACCACTGGCTCCAGCCTGTGCAGCCTTGGGGTCTCCCCTCTGTGCATCCCCCTGTGTCTCTTAGAGGAACCTGTCAGATCATCCAGAGTGACCCTGTCTTGACCTATAAAGACCTCCTTTCCAAATAAGGCCGTTTCACAGGTTCTGAGGATGAGACTTGGACACATCTTTTGGGCCCACCACAGATGTCATTGCTCTCTGAGAGCCATAAGGAGCCCTGGACAACCCACCACCCCTCACTTTGCAAAGGAAAACATCTGCCCACAAACAGCTGGCCTCCCCAGCCCTGTGCTCAGGTGCCCTCAAAGGTGACGTCAGCTTCTTGGCAGGTTCTAGGCAGGTACAGGGCAGTGAACACTGTACAGGAAGAAGGGAACTCCTTGGCTACAAGCCTGGGAGCCTGAGCTCACTTCTGCACAGCACACGTGACAGTGCAGCATTTGTGAGCCGATCGCGTGCCCAGTATCTTGTGGGTTTTATTTCCTCTAATAGGAAATTATTACAGGAGGTCTTACATGTGGTGTGCCATTTGCAAAGTAGATGCTGAATGTTTGACTGTGGATGTTTCTGGTATACTGAGGAGCCATTTTCCTGGCCTCAGGCTAACGCTGAGTAACTCTCATATTCTGAGTGGAGGCTGGTCTCCTGATACGGGCAAAAGGCTGGCGCGTCTTCTCTGAGACATCCTCTCATTTTATTCTTTCCTGTTCTCCTCCCTCATTACTGAGAATCTAAGACAAACGGGCATTTTTTACTAGCGTTTTGTCAACACAAACTTCCACACCCCAGTAATCCTCTCTGCAGCTGCAACCAGACGGCGTCAGCTACACAGCTTCCAAACCCCCATGGCCTGCAACACCAACTGAGCTGTCTCCTTCAGAATAGCCAGACACATACTGTGGACACATTGCCAGACCCTGAGGAAACATCTGTAGTGGCTGCACCGGGGACACTCCAGTGCCAAGAGACTGTGACTGTGAGCTCCTGTTAACCCGCCACTCCTCTGGGAGGCTGAAGAACTGGCCCTTGGCCACAGCACAGGTGCTGGCAAAGTTCCCACCCCTCCCACTGCAGGCACAGCCTCTCTGGTGACTCCCCAGAGGCTTCCTCAGCTCAGCCCAGACCTTCCACAAACAGCTTCTGCCTGGGAGGTTCTCACCCCTAGGCTTTGCCATGGAAGAGCCATGCCCTCCTCACAGGGTTGGTGTGAGGACTACTGTGTCCTGAGCCAGGTGTTTGGGGCTGAGTGTGTCAAGGATGAATCCATTCATCTGCTCAAAGCTGCGAGCTCAGCCTCCTTGGCTGGGATGTGGAAAGCACTGATCAGCCAGGGTGTGGTTTGTCCTGGGTGCGGAGTGAAAGTCCCAGTGGGTTTGTTCAGTTCATTTGGGCTCAGCTCACCCTCCCAGGCAGCCAGGGTGTGGTGATGAGGCCAGCACAGAGGCAAACAGTCAGGACACACACAGTCTTAAAAGGGCCCATGAGTGGCATCAGGTCTTCTGCTTAGAAATAACCCAGCTGATCTGAGGACATTGCTTATAAAATAAAGCTGCCTGCAGCAGACCAGGTACCCAGCAAGCTGGGCTACCTCCCTCCCAACTGAGTGTCCTAGAGGGAGGTCTGAGATGCTCAAATGTCAGCCATGGATATAGGCCAGTAATTGAGAACTGGCTTTTCTAAATAGAGAATTCTCTGCCACGTGCCTGGACCAAAAATTCCCTGAAAGCTAGGCGGAGACTGGTAATTGGCAAATTTACAGCTTCCTTTGGTAACACTGACAAGTCATCACAAGGCCTCACGTGTAAGGGAGCATGTCTGTGCTGACAGGACCAAGGCAGCCTGGTGCTGGTCCTGCCTCCTACAATGTCAAGGCTTCAGTCCACGCAACAGCGGCACTTCTGGCGAGCTCTGTATCAGGAGGGTGGTGCCCCAAGTGTGTGCCCCAAGGCAAGGGTGTCAAAAACGATCTGTGTGGGTTGAGTCTTCAGGCTCTAGGGCCCACACTGGCCTTCACCTCATGCAGCCCTCACTGCATCCAGATTCCCTGGGAGGAGCCCATTTCCTTTCTGGCCTCAGACAGACGTCGTGTTACCAGATCTCTGCATGAGACCATCTGGAGGCTTATCTTGCAACCTGCAGCTAGTAGATTTTGCCATGTTCCTGGGCTCCAGAGTGCCCTGCCAGCTCATGTGTGCCCCAGACCCCCTGAGGAATGGGGGGTGCCTCACACCTTCATTGCCTTTTCCTCACTATTGTAGACAGAAAAGGAAAACTTCTGAAATCACATCTATGGTGAAATGAACCAGCCATTGAGACTACAAAGTGATGTCTCCAGACCTCTGAATCCCTGTGGGGAGAGGCAGGAGACTTTGGGAAAGACAGCTGGAAGAGCTGTAGGCAGCATCACTGTCCCTCCTGGAGCCTCGCCCTTCTAGATGATTCCACAGGCAGCATCACTGTCCCTCCTGGAGCCTCATCCTTCTAGACGATTCCCCGGGCAGCATCACTGTCCCTCCTGGAGCCTCATCCTTCTAGACGATT